TGTCCTTAAATCTGAAATGGGCCTCTTTTAGGTGGTATATATTTGGGTCTCATATTTTTTAAATCCATCCCGTCACTGTGTGCCTTTCGATTGGTAAGTTCAATCCATTTATATTTATACTAATTATTAATACGTAAGGACTTATTTATATCATCTTATGAATTACTTTCTGATTGTTTTGTATTTCTATTGTTTCTTTTTCTCTCTGTTTCTGCATACTTTTGTAAATTGGTTAATTTCCATGGTGGTATTTTCTGTTTCCCATTTCTTTGTCTTTTGTGGATCTACTCTAGGTTTCTGAACAGTCTATTTTAGATTGATAGCAACTTATATTTGGATGCCTATAAAACTCCACCCTTTTACTCCTCTTTTTTGTGTAATTGATGTTATAATTTTCTTCTCTTTATGCCATGTAATTGTTAACAATTTATCGTAGCTGTAATTATTTTTACTACTCTTCTCCTTTAACTTCTTTTTACTATAGTTGAGTGGTTAACACACCATCCTAATATAGAGTTATAGTTTTCTGAATCTGTCTATCTTTCATCTTTACCAGGGTGTGGTGTACTTTCATAGGTTTTCCTGTCACTGATTAGTGTCTTTTTATTTCAGCTTGAAGAATTTTCAATATTTCTTGCAAGGCAGATCTAGTGGTGGTGAACTCCCTCAGCAATTGTTTGTCTAGGAAAACCTTTATTTCTCCTTCTTATCTGAAAGATACCATTGCCAGATAAAGTTTTCTTGGTTGGCAATTTCTATCCTTCAACACTTTGAATATATCATTCCACACTTTCCTGGCCTGTAGAGTTTCTGCTGAGAAATCTGCTGATAACCTAATGGAGTTTCTTTTGTAGGTTACTTTCTTTTATTCCCTGGTTACCTCTAAGATTATTTCATCATTATTTTTTGACCGCTTCATTATAATGAGTCTTAGAGAAGGTCTTTTTACATTGAGATTACAGGGCATTCTATTAGCTTCTTGGACTTACATGTCCAAGTCTTTTCTCAGGTCTGAAAAGTTCTCAGCTATTATTTCTTTAAATAACCTTTTGCTCCCTTCTCCTTCTTTTCTCCTTCCTGAAGCCCAATTATTCTAATATCTGCCTTTCTTATTGAATCTCATAGCTCTGGTTGGCTTTCTTCACTCTTTAACTCTTAGTTCCCACTCTTCTTCTAACTGCATTATTTTCATATTTCTACCTGCAAGTCACTTATTTTTTTCCTCCATCAAGTCTGCCCTGCTACAGATGCCTTTTATTGCATTTTTAAATCTCATTTATTTAATTCTTCAGCTCCAGAATTTCTGTTTGGTTCTTTTTCGTAATTTAATCTCTTTAGTAAATAACTTCTTTTTTTATTTCTAATTTGTTGAATTCTTTCTGAGTTTTCTTGTAGCTCATCAAATTTCTTTATAACAGCTATTTTGAAGTCTATATTAGTTAGATGAGTTTGGTTGCTGGAGAAATGTCATTTTGTTTTTGTGATGCCATATTTCCTTGAATTAAAAAAAAATTTGTAGCTTTGTGTTTCTGCTTTCACATTTGAAGTAGCATATGTCTCCTTAACTAAGCTTTTATGTCTTCTTTGGTTCTTATAATTAACAAGGCTGGCTATTAGAAACCTCTCTTTTGTATTTCAGAAAGTAGTGCTATAGAGCATGTTTTTGTTTCTCCCTTGAGAAACAGTTGCCTATTTTCAGAGCACACTATCTGTGTCATGAGCTTGCTCTTCATGATGTATTTGGGAGCACACACAAGGAACTGGCAGCAGACTGGTGAGAGGTTTGGGTCTAACACTTGTTGAGGTGTGTTTAGGGAGTCTGAGGACCTAGTAGATAAATCTCCAGTTGTGGCACTCCTAGAGACATGTGGATGGACTTTCTGCTGAGCCCAAGTCCCTCAAAGCCATTTGAAATTCTAATCTGCTTTTTTTTTTTTTTTTTTTTTTTTTGCGGTATGCAGGCCTCTCACTGTTGTGGCCTCTCCCATTCTGGATCACAGGCTCCGGACGTGCAGGCTCAGCAGCCATGACTCACGGGCCCAGCCGCTCCGTGGCATGTGGGATCTTCCCGGACCGGGGCACAAACCCGTGACCCTTGCATCGGCAGGTGGACTCTCAACCACTGCGCCACCAGGGAAGCCCATAATCTGTCTCTTTCTTAATATGCTCCATTCCCCCAGTTTCAGAGCCCCCACCTTAGTACTCTGTGTGCTGGTGGAGAGAACTTGTTTTCTCCAGCAGCATCCCATTTAGCTGGCATAAGGGGAAGCCCTTTCTTTCTCCACAGGAGAGGTCACCTCCAGCAGATAAACCAGCCACAATCAATGCCTTTTGGGGGGTGGGACGGCACTGAGAAAGTTTCTTTCACCATCTCCACTGTGACAAAATTCATGTTTTTTTCTTTTTTCTTTCTTTCTTATCCAAAGTTGTTTTAGATTCTCCCTTCAGGGGGCTGGAGTTCTGCAAGTCCTTTCTTGAGGCTAAGTGTCTGCTGAATTCAGTACTCACCCAATTCTTGCCCAACAATAGCAAGAGGGGTCCAGGCAGTCATACTGGTTATGCTGTTTCTGCAACCCATATGGTGATCTGTCTATATCCTACTATCTGCACTGGTGGACAACTTGGGTCCTTTAGAGCAATGTACAAAGTCCAGAAGTTCCCACAAATGTGCTTTTCTTGGTGTATGGATGTCTAATTTGTTGATTTAAGAGGGGTATACAAAGGAGGAATGTCTTATGCTATCATGTCACTGATTTCACTCTCCCAACATATATTTTTTTTATTGTCTACTATGTTGCAAGTAGTGAGGTAGGCATTGTATACACAAAGGAGAAAAAAATCTTATATTCAAGTAGGGCAGGTGAACAATAAACAAATAAAATAAGTACAAATTATAAGAAGCCATGAGAAAAAAATCAAGATAACTTATTAGAAATGAACTTGTGTCTAGAGGGGTGGGGAGCTCTTTAGTTAGGGTGGTCAACTTTGAGAACTGACAAACTTTAACTGAAGGAAGGGAAAAGATAACTGTTGGAAGAATATTCTAGGCAGAAGAAACAGGTACTGCAAGACACTTTTTGAAGCAATTTTAATTCCTTGAACCAATCAAGTTTGATGGCAAGCCTATGCTTTGCATCTGAGCTGACTGGTGGGAAGTCAGGAAAGGGAAGTGTTGCTTCCTCTCTGGGAACAGAGTAAAGAAAGTATAGGTGGGATCCTGACCAGTGCAATCACTTCCCATAACCTTGTTTGATCCCCCATGTTGCAGGTTTTAAGTGTTGTCCATACACTCCCAGAGCACCACCACTATAACTCTTTTCTGGAGGTTGCCCTTCCTTTTGCTGTAGGTAAAAGTGCCATTGGATGATTTAGAAAACCTCAAGAGGGAAGAGAATTTGCTGCTCCATTAGAGGGAAGTGATGATTTTATAACATGGAATGAGCATACAAGAGACTACTGGGTTTTATGGTTTGTATGGAATTCTTGGGGCAAAATGACATCCCTAGTACTTCTGATATCCATGGAATGATAGATAATACACGTTGTTACATCATATTTGTTTTTCTTTTTTTTATAATAAAAGAATTTTCAGCTTAGCATATGGCAACCCGTAATAATGACTACATATTCTAGTCTCCTGTGCAGCTTGGCAGGGCCATGTAGCTGATTTCTAACCAGTGAGTTGCAAGCAGAAAGGATTTTCAACACTTCCAGTCACCCCCTTAAAAAAAAAGCATGTCTCCCTCTCCCCATTCTCCCATCCGACTAGCTATAATGTGAATGTGATAGGAAAACTTGCACCATTCAGATTGAGAAAACACCCCAAATGTGTTGGAATAATAAGACAGGAAATGTATATCCAAATATCTTTCAAAAAAAGCCACCAACTGGCTAAGACTTTTACATGAAAGAGAAATACATTTCTATCTAGTTTAAGCCACATTTCTATTAATCACAGATAAAACTATAGCCTAACCAATACAGCTTATAAAAAAAGATTCAAAGGAAGAAAATGTGAAATATCTGAGGGAAATTTTAGAGAAATATAGCCACCTAACTATGAGCAGTGTTCACAGAGTTTACATAACAATTACATAGGTCTCAGAAAAATTTCAGAATGTACATTTACATGGATGCATTCTAATACTGCTCTAGAAGTATTGTTTAGTAGACGATTTTGACAAAAATGTAGAAATTTAAGCTGTCAGCAGTGGTATTTTTACTTTTAGTGGACCTGAATATGCTGGACTCCTTCCCATGAGAGTCATAATAAATTTGGATCGAGGGATCCCTGAACTGAAATCAACATTATTCTGTATCAAACTTCTGCAGTAGAAGGAAGGCTTAGCTAAGGCAAAAAAGATCAGGTTAATAGATGATTTTATCTAAGTTGGAACTTGTTCAGGTTGATAAAAAGTAAATTTTTATACTTGTTAGAATTTAGTGTTTGATGTCATTACTGAAAAACATCTAAAACCGGTTCTTATCCCTTACCCCTTTTGATCATATATTAAATAGTTCATTTAAATGGTACTATAACTTATTAAAATATTAAACTTTTGAATTATATAATGTATGAAATGTACTTTTATATAATCTGGGGTAAGGAGAGTGGGTACAGACATAGAAGAAAGAAGACTGGCCATGTGTTGCTGTTGGTTGAAGCTGAGTAATGGGTACATGAGGGTTTCTTATACTAATTGTTCTTCTTTTCTTCTTTTGAATATATTTGATTTTTTCCATAGTAAAATACATATATATGTTATACATATTATATATATATATATATATATACACATATCTATCTTTATGTGCATCTGAGTGAAAAAGTTAAACTTATTTAGTGACACCATTTTGAACCCATTATTACAATGTTTGTCTTTATCCAGGTATGGTGTAGGAAGTTTATAGTAGGATTACTTCCTTCATACTTTCATTCCCTGAGCCTCAAACTTGGATCGTTATTGTTTCAAGCTGTTTTTGTTTATTTTTTCTTCTCATTAGATTGGCATTTTAAAAAGTATAAATGATCCTGGTCTTTGTTCAAGTTGTGAATATTCAACATTATTTAGGAAAGGCTGAAAAACATCTTTCTATTGTGGGACAGAATCAAACTTGAAGAACAAAGATCCTAGATCTGCCTCTCAGCTCTGCTTCTGAAGCTCCTGTAAAAAGGAAGATATTGGGGTCAGATTGATAGGCCTAATTACAGCCCACTTCCCACCAATGAACAGTTACTCTATTATTCCTTGAAGAGATCCAAGAAGGAAAATGTAAGGCCTTAAATAAGGACTATGCCTATAGATGAATAAGCAGATGTTCAGTAAGTAGTTAGATGAAGAGAACTTAGTCAACAGAAAATAGAAGAAGAAATAAGGTCTTGGAAAAATCAAGTAAGTGTTTAAGTCTGAGGAAGTTCTGCTGAAGAAATTATCTGTGAAGTTCAAAAAAGATACAGCTCACTGCCTGCCTCTCAAACACTCATCACATCCTTTAATTATTGAGGAGTAAATAAGTTGAAAGAGCCACATTTACCTGAGAGTTTATCTCTCACTTCTTCCCTCTCAAAATAAGGTACAGTGAAGGCAGTAAAATTACTTGTGAGGTGGCTTCAAGAAGGCATGTAGGAGGGATGTACATTATTTGAGGACATTTGATGTGTGGGTCAAATCCCATATTTATATCCCATTATTTTTTTCAAGTCTACCAAAACATCAGAAATTTCTCCTTAGGAAAGCCTTTACCACTTCCTAGGAACATTTTTCTGTAGCAGTCAAAATGTGTAATTCATAAAAACTTGGTTATTGCAGAAGATACTGAAAGCATTAGGAATATAGGTGAGATGAGAAGGGAGTTGCTAAAGTGGAAGAAAGATAACTAGGATGAGAGGAGAGCCAGAGACAATTCTCCTGACTTTACTATTTGTTTTGTTTTGTTTATGTAGATCTGTTTTGAGAAGAGCAGAGGGGGACAGTGAAGGATAAGACTTTTTCCCTGCTAATCTATAAGAAAAATCAAACTATTGGGTCTTAAAAACCCTTAAGATTAAAGAGAAAATATTCTTTCTGTTCCCTCATCTCCTTTTCTGCCCAAAGACTATACTTTAAAAAGTACAAGTATTTAAGTCATTTGGGTAAACTTGGTCAACAAGTGAGGATGGGGAATAATCTTAGTAGGGTGTGAACAGTATGGGAAGAGTGGATGGCAGGTGTAGGGTAGGATGGGGAAGTGGTTCATCTTTCCATTTGAAAATAGAACGCACCACTCCAGAGAGAAAGGGAGAGTAAAGCCTCTGGGGACTTAACATCCATGTATGTGAGAACACTGACAAAGATCATCAATTACATCAGTTTCCTGAAAAAGTGACATTGAATTCTGGAGGCAGAAATTTTCTATGCAAATAGAGAGACCATCTTTATTACTAAAATACATATTATAAATTATAGACATAAATATATTCCAAGTGCAACATTTTCACAGTCTTTTGGGAGTAAAAACAAAAAGATGACAGAAAAATTACGTTGCACAGGAGTTCCACTTATGCATAGTTTCAGACCAAGGTAATTTGATCTGTTGTTCCTAGAGCAGATGGCTCCTTTTCATGGAATTACAGGTTAACAGAATAAGTTCCTAAACCAAGAGACAAGAAAAACATATAAACCATTTGAATATAATAATAATAAAAATAACAATAATGACAATAATAATAACATGGAAATCACTCCATATTAAAAATATCTGTTGGGGACTTCCCTTGTGGTGCAGTGGTTAAGAATCCGCCTGCCAATGCAGGGGACACGGGTTTGAGCCCTGGTCCAGGAAGATCCCATAGGCCTTGGGGCAACAAAGTGCATGTGCCACAACTACTGAACCTGCACCATAGATCCCATGAGCCACAACTACTGAGCCCACATGCCACAACTACTGAAGTCTGTGTGCCTAGAACCCATGCTCTGCAACAAGAGAAGCCACAGCAGTGAGAAGCCCACGTACTGCAATGAAGAGTAGCCCTCACTTGCCACAACTAGAGAAAGCCCATGCTCAGCAATGAAGACCCAATGCAGCCAATAAATAAATAAATAAATGAATAAAAATTTTTTAGAAAGCCACTTTAAAAAAATATTTGTTGGAATCAGAACTCAAATAACTTTAATAGAAAATGTGAGTTCATTTATCTTGAATTGTATATTGCTGTAGTTGATGGTGTTTACTTTTTGAGGGTTTTACTTTTTTCATTAAACCCGGAAAGTGACAAATGGGAGGTTTGGAGAGAAAATTCTCCAAGGAAGGGAGACACTCAAGAGGCTGCTGTCTGGATGGTAGCTGCAACACTACTTCTCTCCTAGTTTAGACTTTTCCCTGGAAATCAGATCCAGAGTTGGAAGGGGAAAAAGACAAAAAGAAAAAGAAAACAAGCAGAGATCTGAGAAACTGATAGTCATGTTTGTAGATATATTTCTTAAAATTTAGCATCCCCTATTGTAAGAAAATTAGGTGATCACTTACTATATGTAACCTGAAAGGCACTGCTGTAAGACTCACTTTCTTCAAAATATCTTCCTTTCCAGTCTGCTTCAGTGTCTTTAATCCCTCCATTAAAAGTGAGAGATTTACACTTTGAGTTAAAGTTCATCCCTAAGGCCTAGAATTCAGATATCCTTTGGCAAATTAATATTAAGCTAACATTAGTCATTAGTACATTAGTGTGAATAAATTTATCAGTTACTGACTAGAACAAGGGAATAAGACAGAAGACAAAACATACTGATGATGATGAGGGCTTGATAAAGTAAATCACAGCATTGAATACAAACTTAGATGGGCAGGCCTGAAGAGAAGGTGTGGTCCTAGCTAAGCAGCATAAAAATACTGGACACTTGTTCTCTCTGTATTTTCCTCAAATGATATAAATACTTTTCAAGGGCTTCTGGACTGCCTAATAAATGGGCTATAACCTCAACATTTCCTCTAAGAATGAGGAAATATATCTCCTGGATATATTTGCCTCCTGTTTAAAATAATAGATATGTTTAAAGTGATATTAATATGTTAATGAAATTAAATCACTGGTCTCCCAAAATGACCCTAAAAAGTGTAATTCATGCTAATATAGAAAATAATAGACACATATAGTATAGACAAGGCCCTTTCATTACAAGTACCCACAAAATTATTACTTCTAATCCCATTACAACACTGAATTATGTTCAAACACAAATCACTTTAAAGCAAAGAGACCAGGCATAATTACAGTTACCCATTTTAAAACACAACTTAACACTCATTTGGAACTCATTTAACACATCGAAATATGTACCTTATGATGAATAATTAGGATATAAATACATACACTATTGCTAGCAGCACAAAGTCAATCTTCTAGCAGGGTATTATCTTAATAACAAAGTACAAGCAAATCAACACTTGCCTAGAGAAAACATTAGAAAAATTTCCATTCATCTTAGATATTAGAATTCATTTTGATTTCACCGGTTTTTTTCCCCCAAATATATTGGTATTGTAACTGTGTGCTTAAAATAACTCCCTTTCTGTAAATATGATGGAGCTCTTCCTTGATTTTCACATTCCTTCCAGATAGGAAGTAGCATGTTTCTTCATTTTAAAGCACACAGATTTTAATTAAAGCACGCTTTGAAACTTAGAGCTTTTTGCCAAAGTATTTTTCAAAGTATTCTAATATTTAAGACCTCAGGTTAAATTACTACTCATATCCTGGGTCTGTTTCCTGCATACTAGTACTAAACAGGTAGGAGGCAAGGCATTTTAATGGGCATCCAATGTGGCCAAAATTAATCTTCTGCACTTTTCTCAAAAGGGGAAAATACTGACTTCCCCAGATGCTGGGAGGGAGGCTGTGCTGGCCTTACAATGGTATGACTGGGGCAAAGCTGGGCCAGAAAAATTACTGAAGACTCTAGGGTCCACATGCCTGGCTGCCTCCAAACCTACTCTGGCTTGTGAATGCAGCTTGACAGTTGCCACCTAACTTAAAAATAAGAAATAACTTCATCTTTTTGCTCTGGCCTAAACTTAGTGGCCTAAACTTAGTGCACTACTTCTTCCATAGGCTCAGAAAGTGCAGTAACCTGTCAGAGGTACCTTGATGTCACTCTAGAAGCATGGTGGACATTTCTTTTACTTGGCAGATCCGTACATCTTCAGAGGTGTTCTCTGTAAAAAGTTTAAGAGAATCAGAACTATGATTACCACCTATCTGCTTTCTCCTGGACCTTTAAAGGCAATTTGGGTCACATTGTATGAACTTTGACAAGCCACCTGCCCTGGTTAGATTAAATATGGCAATTTATACAGTCATAGAGAGTATGTGAATTTATTTCTTGTTCTTATTTTAAACATACCAGAGGCCTGAGTTCAGATTTTCATTCTATTAATAGATGTGACAGATGATTTTTCATACTGATATTGAAATGAAGGAAATAGCTATTTGAGTCTTCAAACACTAGAGTGTAATCACATATGGAGATAAAAATGGTCCATGCGGGCTTCCCTGGTGGCGCAGGGGTTGAGAGTCCGCCTACCGATGCAGGGCACACGGGTTCATGCCCTGGTCCAGGAAGATCCCACATGCCGCGGAGCGGCTAGGCCCGTGAGCCATGGCCGCTGAGCCTGCACGTCCAGAGCCTATGCTCCACAACGGGAGAGGCCACAACAGTGAGAGGCCCACGTACCACAAAAAAAAAAAAAGGTCCATGATTTTAACACTGTTTTTGCAGAATAATATAATGTCCATCCTACTTAAAGACAACTAAAATATGATATTGGGATATAAACTGTGATTACTAGTATAAATAGACAATTACATTGCTTCTAAATACAAGGAAACTCAATGTCCATTGTAACAAAACTAAGTGCTTATAATGACTTCAACCTAATAGTCTCTCTTTGTCTTAGGTTCACAGATACAACTGCTGACTCTAGTTGAGATCATATGTGTATAGTATGTCACTGAAATTTTATAGCTTAAGTTTCAGTCCACATTCAGTTTTTTTTTTTAACATAGTTCAGTTGTCAAGGTAGAAGTGGTATGGCTGCTCACAAATGATTTTGCATGGAGTTTTATGTTATCATGCAAATCTTGTCTTGAAAGCCGTTTTCTGAACTCATCAGTGGTAAAGTAGTATATGATTGGGTCAAGGCAGGAATTCAGACTGGCAAGACACAAGGCAATAGAATGAAATATTAGAATCACCCTTCTGGCTAGGCAGCTTTTAATTTCATTGGACTTGACCAGGAAATCTAAAGGAAAACTGAAGTGATAAGGTGCAAAGCAAATTAGGAAAACTCCTGCACAGGTTAGAATCATCTTCAAGGCTTTCTTTTTCTCTCCAAGGTCTTGAGCCACAGGATATTTGTCCTGCAGTGATAAAACCGTCTTCCAGGTACAATACAGGACAGTCAGAAGAGGAGTGACAAATCCAATCAACTCGCCAATGGTCATCATGACAACAGACTGGGCTAGATTGACATTCCTGGTAGGAAGATCCACAAAGCATTTTGTTCTGTTGCTAGGGGTGTCATCACTGCTTCGGAGGAGTGGAAATAGCAGACAGGCAAGGCAGATTATTAGCCAGCCAGCAATGCTGATGTATAGGTCATATTTCTGTTTACAGTCGTGGAAGCGAAAGGGGTAGAGGAGAAACCAAAATCTTCGCACACTGATGCAGACCAAGAAGTAGATGCTTGCATACATGTTGACATACTTCAGGTAGAAACAAAACATGCAGAGGCCAGGCCCAAATGGCCAGTCATGATTCAAGTAGTAAAAGATCCTCAGTGGCAAGGAGAGGACTTGTAATAAGTCAGCAATGGCTAGGTTTATCATGAATATCACAGCCCGTTTGGTTTCTTTCATATAGCCATAAAATATCCACAAGGCTAATATGTTCCCTATGAGACCTGGCACAAGAATGACAGTGTATGTCACTGCATAGATGAAGTACCGAAAATCTGTATTGGATCCATCTGTCCCAGCACATGTGTCATTAGCAGGCATGTTTCTTTCTAGAGAAACTGCCTTTGCTAAATGGTGGTTAAAAAGCTAAATTTATAATTTACTGCTGCTCTTTCTAAAAGACTGATCATCGATGGGCTGGGGAGACTGAATATAGAATAACATCCTTTTTATTGCATTGGTCTGGGCTTATATACATGATTTGGGTTTTTTTCAAGTAACTATCTGCATGTTTGCTTTGGATTTGTCTACATTAACTACATTGAAGTCTAATGTGCAAGCACAGATGACAAGCTGTTATAATTTTCCCTTCTTCTTTACTCAGTTAAAAGGCCTCTGGGACATCATAACAGTTGATCCTCTCCCATTTGATCATAAATGTGCCATATAGTAGCTCTTCAAATTCCCATATGATGACAGTCATCTCTTTACTGGTGTTTGGCAGGCTGTTTTTCATTTTTTTGGCTCACATAGAAGGAAGATTTGCTTTTGTACTCAGTGGGTCCACAACTCTTCACAGGTGATTAACTTGGATGGATCATCTTTCTGGGACATTTTCAGTTATGTGTCGTAAACTAAAAAGTGAGAAACAAAGTCAGAGCTGCAAATGAAAAAAAATTAAGCCAATTATTGTCTAGAAATTTTTGAAAAAAAAGCCTATGTGTAGAAAAATCTATTACCTTTAATGGAAAGTTCTGATGTGAATGAGTGTGATTAGTCACAAGTTCCATAAGACACTTTAGAGTCACAGGACAGTATAGCTAGAAGGAATCTGAGAAGTAATCTAGCCCCTTACTACTCAAAATGTGATCCATGAACCAGCATTACTGGAGAACTTTTTAGAAATGCAAAAGAATCTCAGATCCCATCTGGGATTTGCTGTAACACAATCAGCAATTTAAGAAGAACCACAAGTGATTCTTAGGCATATTAACATTTGAGAGGCTCTGATGTAGACCACAGCTTCACAAACATCACTGAGGGTCACACTCATCTGGGGAAGTTTAAAAAAATTACAACTTTCCTTAGATTTTCTAGTGTCTCCCGTAGAGATTCTTATTCAGTACTTAGGGCCTGAAATTTGTATTTTTAAAAAGATCCCCATATGATTCAGATATAGCCAACCCAGCCAGCATTTGTCCTTGAATCATCATATAGGGGCCACTGATTTGTTTCATATCTTCCCCAGATGTCTGAAAATTAGTGGGCAACCACCCTCTCTTTAATTACTTGCAATAACAAGGGTCATTTAGCCACCTCTCAATTATCCAAGACAAAAGACCATGACATCAATACGGAGAATCAAAATCCCCAAAAAGTTGACCCAGCTAGGTCCATGACCTTTGTTCTAAAACAAATTTTAGTTTAGGCACCTGGATAGTTGCCTCAAGGCTGCTGAAATGCAGGAGGAGTTAATTGACTTTAAAGATATGTGGGAAGAACAAAAATGAAGTAGAAATTATAAAACATCCTGCTATGGATTATCAAATCCATGTAGATTATCAAATCCATGTTTGAAGTTGGCTTGATTCAACCCCTGAAGGAATTGTAATTGTTATTATTTTGCCTCAATTGCCTGGTAAGTAAAATAGCACATTTGTTCAAAGATATAATGCACACTTTATTTAAACATGCTGATAAATAGTATGAACTATGCATTCAGATTGAAGGGGTTAAATACTTGAGATTTCTCAGATAAGGAAGTAGAGAGACGGTGTTATAAAATAACAAGAAGCAAGACTGTAAAGAATAACATCGATGTTGAAAGAGTGGTTAAAATTAGAGGTTGTTCAGCTCCCAAACTGAAATACATCTTTGAAATATTTTCACAGGTAGTGATTTTGATTAGGTGACAGGCAAAATTAGGTGGCTGACCAAAAAGTCACAAGCCCTGGGTTTTCAACCTCCTTTTAACTATTTATATAAAAGTCATCACCTGCTAACGTCACTGATAAGAAATCAGAACTATACAAATAAACATCCAGTCAACCTCTAATGAACATTCACCTCTCCTATCAAAGCCAATGACTCTTAAATCTGTATGTGAATCCTGAGCTGTAGCTCTCTTTCCAACTATATATAACACCTCTTCTTTTGGATATTTCATTACCATCTTAAAATTCAACATATGAAAGTGAAGCCATCTTTTCTATTTATTGAAAATATGTCATATCTTGTCAGATAATGTCACCTCTTTGATAAAAAATCTCCTAATGTCTTCTCATCTCACTCAGAGGAGAAATAAAAGTCCTTACAACAAATGGCCTATTTTAACTACATGGTCTGGCCCCTGGTTACTCTTCTGACCTCACCTTCTAAGATTCTCCCCCTTGCACTCTGCTCCAGCAACTTTACCATTCTTGCTGTTAGGTGAACAGACCAAGAACCTTTCTGCCTCAAAGCATATGAATTGGCAGTTCCCTGCGCCTGAAATGCTTTAGCCTAGTTATTTATTTGTTTTACTCCCTTGCCTCCTTCAGATCTTTACCCAAGTGGGTTCTTTTCATGAGGCTTTCCCTCATCTTCCTATTTAAAACTGCAGCTCACCTCCAACACTCCCCATCTCCTGTCAGTATTTATTTTATCTATTGCCAGTTGTAACTAACATACTCTTTGATTTTTACTTATTTATTTTGTTTTTATATATTTTCCCTACTAGAATGTAAAGTTCATGAGGACAAGGATTCTTGTGTGTTTTGTTTACTTGCTATAAAACAGAACTGAGGACTGTGGAAGACACAAATAAGTGCTCAGTATTTGTTGAAAGAAATAATTTCAGTAAATAAAATCAATATATCTCACACAAAAATGATCATCCCTCAAAACTTCAAACCAGATTCTGCTCCTGACTTCTTCATTGCTATTAAGTTCACTAATGTTTTCCTAGGTTGTCTCAAAGTCTTGGAGGTATTGACTCTTTGTCATTTATTTTCCACTTCCAAACAAGTTAGGGAAGATAGCTTACTATGGGGGAAATAACATATGTTTAGGAGTCAGGATTACCTGGGTTTAAATTCTTGCTCTTTTAATAAATAGCTGTGTGACTTCAGGTATATCGCCAAACTTCTCTGATTCTTTAATTTCGCATTGATAAAATGAGAAAAATCATACTACCTAACTTAGAGTCAGTGTGAGAATTAATTGAGCTGCTGTATATAATTTATTTAGCATAGTGTAAGGTACATAAATGCTTAATAATTGATATTATTATTATTACTACTTTCTGCAACTGCGTTATTTCTCATAATATTATTCTTTAAATTGCATTGTTTATGCTCTAGTTCAGGACCTTATTACTTAGTTTATTTCCCTATCCCTTATCATTTTCTACTCCATACTATATAATGCTGTCAGATATTTTTTTCCTTAAAATGAGCTCTTAAAAAGTAATAATGGATTCCTATTGCCCAAAAAATCACAAAATACAGTCTGGCAGTCAATGGCTTTCTTAAATACAGGGCCATCTACCTTTAGGATTTTGTCTCCCAGTGCTCTCCTAACATGTCCAGAACTCCAGCCAAACTGAGCTCCATACTATTCAAACTGACTTTTTCTTCCCCCACAAATAGCTTTTTCCATTTTTTCATTCTGCTACCTCAGCTTGGAATATCTTTTTTTGTTTTGT